TTGGTTCATATTTTAAATCAAATGAAAATTGATTTTGGGCATAAAATAGGGTTACTAAAAAGACCAAAGACTCAGCAGCCGAGTTTAGGAGTTTGGAACTGGAGAAGACGTTATGCTTGGAGCACGGCTGCCAGTTCACAAGGGAACAGCCACCCGGCAACTCCAAAACAATAAGCCCTCCCCTATAATAAGCCCAAGGCCATATTTTGTAAGTAAAAAGAAAATAAGACCCTGTAGTATTTTCGGGGAAACACGGTACTTCTTTTAGTCTTTGGTCTTTTTAGTAACCCTATTTTATGCCCAAAATCAATTTTCATTTGATTTAAAATATGAACCAAACCTATGTGTGCCTATCTTTTTGAGGTCAGGTTGAGATTCACTGGAACATTTCTGTTGTTACCATGAAATGATGGGCTAACCTAGATCTCATCCCCACAGCATGAAGAAAACCTTCAGGCTTCTAACACCAGCCTTGATACACAATCTTTTCTTATTTTATGTTGAAAGTCTACATTCAGTCAGTATAGCAATAGCAATAGCAGTTAGACTTATATACCGCTTCATAGGGCTTTCAGCCCTCTCTAAGCGGTTTACAGAGTCAGCATATTACCCCTGACAATCTGGGTAATCATTTTACCCACCTCGGAAGGATGGAAGGCTGAGTCAACCCTGAGCCGGTGAGATTTGAACAGCTGAACTGCAGAACTGCAGTCAGCTGAAGTATCCTGCAGTGCTGCATTTAACCACTGCGCCACCTCGGCTCTGTAGTCAGTCCAAGAATAACCTTTAGAATTTAATGGGCTGAAATAAAAGGCAAAAATAACATTTCACAACATTATCTATGTTTATTTCCTAAAACAAGATGGATCGATGACATCAGCAAGTATTGTGGGTCAATTGGTAAAAGAAAGCTCAGGACAGTATAGGTTGGAAACATGTGGAAGAGCCTTCATCCTGCAATGGATACACAATGGCTAAAATGATGATACACACACACACACACACATCATACATACACACACACATCTTGATTTATTTTTAACAATGATTTGAATAAGCTACAATGGCTGAATTCACACATTTCATTAAACCATTAGTTTACACACTACACAGACTATAATAGCTGGGATTATGCAAAATGTACCCATACCTTTGCTAATGAAACATGCAGTAAAATATCACCTGGGAAGTCAATACCTACATGGCAACCAGCCATGAACTCTCCATAATATTCTGCTTCACTTCAGAATGATAAACTTGCTTTAAATTCAACTGCAGAGTGCGAATTCCAGGATATAACATTTATCTCTTCCCATCCATTTTCTTCCTATGCTTTTCCTTAGTGTTCCCCTTGGCCTGAAGTTTCCAGCAATCTCAACAGTCCTCCATCAACTCCTGGCCTTGTCTCTCCACATCCTTTCAAGCTTCAAACCCCTGAAAGGTACCCTAGGCTGAGTCATCTATAACAGCATTCCTTCTCTATTTTGGTCTTGGGATATCTGTAAGATAAACTGCCTTTGTTGCTCTTTTTGGCAGAGTCTGCTCCTCACCCAGTTATGCCTTGGACAGTTCATCAGAGGGCATGGCAGAGGTAACAAATAGCATCTGTAGGTGGGCAGAACTATTCATGAAGGCCATATTATTAAATAAATGAAGTTTAAATAAAATCCAGATGGATCTTTTGATATTTTGAATTTGTCCAGATCCTGTTCTCCATTAAACTAAAGCAAATGCTTCCAGAGAAAGTGAATTTTGTGAACCATTCTACTAGTTAAATATGAGATGACTTGATCATTTACCAAGTCCTTGCTAACTGACTCTCCTGCCTTCCCTGCTTTAAGGCAGAATATAGCAAGCTACCAGCAGTAGATCAGTAGAAATGATTGTCTTTACAAAGACACTAGACTGATGAATCCACATATACCAATAGGTGATGTCAACTGGGATTGACAAAAGTTTTATTCAGCCTGTGCTTACTTTGCACTCAAATAAATACAATGTAAGGGTGCCCTCTGGTGGCAATGTTTTATTTCCAATTAATTTTTTTTTAAAATGGATGAAATTTAGTTTATGAAAGAAGATCCAATATACCCAAAGTTGGCATTTTAATTAAAATGTTAAGCTAAATGGTGCTGCTGTTTCCAACATTTATTTATTGGGGAGAGGAACAAACTCAAAAGAATATCTCATCCGCTATCTACAGTATACCGTCTTAAATTATGAGTAGGTAACACTTGGAGCTCCAGATGGCTTATTGCTCCAGATGTGGAAGAACCACAACTCTCAGCATCATTAAGAAGCCTAGCCTAATTGTAAGTTATGCCCAGAATTTCAGCACACCAGGTGGACCACAGGTTCACTATTTCTGCTTTACATGATACACTACTATCTTAACTACTACAATAGTCTCCACACATGTAAGGGTCACCTGGGAATGTCAGAAGCCATAGTCCAATGCATCTGCAGGTTGATGGTGGCTGCCCACTATTTTGCCTACAGCACTGAATTGCCTACAGGACAGAGAAGCTGTTAAAGCACAGATTTTGAGAATTCCTTTTCATTATTTCTAACTTTTCCAATTGTTGCAATAAATGTAGGAAGATTCTGAATATTTACCCATGTAATCTGGAGCCATAATGGTAGAGCAAGATATTAGCAGTGGGCAAAATAGTTCAAATATGAACTATTCTGTATTTGGAAATGCCTATTTTGAGTTTGAAACAGCTGCTGACTGCAAATGAAAGTATTTTTATTGCTTTGGAGGTGTTTTAAGATAGAAAAAAACAGCATGGGTTCTTTTGCACTCAAAATAACTGTTTTACATTTTAAAGGGATCTTTAAAATGGAAACATTTGGCAAATCCCTCAAAATGTGAATTACTTATCTACCCAGCGGATATTGAAGTAAAATACTTTCTACAATTCAGGTGACAGCAACACTTACTCTGAATACATGAAACATAGGATAAAAGCATGTTTCTAGCATGTGTTGAATAATTTCCTAATCCCTGTAAATCAGTAACCAACTACAGTCATCTGGATTAAGGAGGAGAGGTTTGTAATCAGAGAATATGACTTCTTGGCTAATTTGGGGACCAATGATTAAAGATGATTAGAGTTCTGACACATATTTTTCTGTAAAAGTTCCCTTAGCACATACGTGCTAATCGTTCCCGACTCTAGAAGGCGGTGCTCAACTCCGTTTCAAAACCAAAGAGCCAGCGCTGTCCAAAGACATCTCCGTGGTCATGTGGCCGGCATGACTAAATGCTGAAGGCACATGGAACACTGTTACCTTCCCACCAAAGTGGTCCCTATTTTTCTACTTGAATTTTTACATGCTTTCAAACTGCTAGGTTGCCGGAAGGTGGGACAAGTAACGTGAGCTCACTCAGTTACACAATGCTAGGAATTCGAACCGCTGAACTGTCGACTTTCTGATCGACAAGCTCAGCGTCTTAGCCATTGAGCCACCTTATATTTTTCTGTAGAAAGCATTTATTTAAAATTATTGCATTTGTCAGAGGTTTATGGAATGAGATGGCTTCTAATCCATTATATGAACATCATGAAATATGGCTACAGGATTCATAAGGGCTAATTCAGTTCCAGAATAAATTTTCTGTGATCCAACCTGCCCCTGAGAAGAAAGCAATAGTCTAGACCAGTGTTTCTCAACCTTGGCAACTTGAAGATGTCTGGACTTCAACTCCCAGAATTCTAGACAAGAGCTTCTAGCCGTCCAAAGAATCAGCTATCAGAGAGTGAGTTTCTTCTAACCTGTTTTGGTGGACTTGATTAAAGATGCCTTTTAATTTTTCTGCCTCTTTTCAGACCCTGAATCCAAGCGCCTCCATTTTGGAAACTCAACAGTGGTTACTTAAAAACAGGTTCTCCAATTATTCCAGGGCTTTTGCCAGCTACACAGGTGAGACTTCTTTTCATCTCCAGGGTGAAGATGCCAATAAACTAATCCAAGACTCTGTATCCTTGCAATTTTGCATCCACCACCCCCAGGCCAGTGCCTTTTGTGGCCTCCTAAATCAGACCATTAAAATAAACGGCGCACACATTTCTTAAATGAGGGAGAACAGCCCAGATTTCTCCAGCATTCCTTAAATTAGGAGAATATACCTACTATTCTGAATAGATTGTAGAGGATAAAGGAAATACCAAAGCTGAATTTAAATTACAACTTTCTTATGAAAGATGATTTTTCTTCTTTTTTCTTAAGTTACTCTGCAAGACATCATATATATTGATTATGCGATAGAAAATAATGAAAAATGGGCTCTGCCAATCTCTGATATTGCAAATATGAAAAAAAAAGAATTCTAACTACATTATGGATTGTGATGGGTCAGAATAAATATAGTAAAATAAACATTTATTGAATTCTGCCTTGCTCTCTGAAAATGATCTATTATCTGCAAATTCTAAATTCTTTTTCCACCCCTCCCCCCAGGAACGGATTTGCTCAAACTGTCCCGCAATGATCTTGTACAGATCTGTGGAATGGCAGATGGGATTAGACTTTCAAATGCTCTAAAAGCAAGGTATGGAGTTATGAACAAAAGTAGCGAGTTTATGGATATCTTTTTTTTAAAAAAAAACTTCTATTAAAACATTATTAAAAAGAGAAATAAACTCTTTTTGGGAAAGAATGAAACTATTGTCCCAGGAGACCAAAGAAAGTTCACAGAACAGCCCATGAAGTCACCAAAAGTCACGCTTGAACTTTTAATATAAATACATGGTGAAAATGTAAAATCAAGTCTAACCCACACTCAAAATAATTATGGTTGTGATTCAATGATTACATGAGAAACAGAGCCAGGGGATTAACTATTAGGAAGGACTTCAGATTAGACAAACAAGGAGCTTCCAGACTATTTGAGTTGCCAGCTTGTGGGACAGTATTTTTCAGTGCATAAAAAATACCCTCCCAAAAAAGGTGGGTGGAAATGCCTGTGTGTCTTATAGAACAAATGGTGCCAAAGCCCCGCCTACTCGTCAGCTCCCACCCTTCAGCTTCTGCCCCCCCCAGCAATTTGTCTCCTTGCAGCGAACAGCCTGGTCAGCTTCAGCACAGCTTGATGTGCCCCATTTTCGGCCTGTTCCAGGTGGCGGGGATAGATAGCGATAGGCGGCAGCGGCGATGGCGATCCCCACAGCCTGGAACAGCTGATAGTAAGCATTCCGGGAGGCAAATACAACTGCCAATCAGCTGCTCGTGCTAAATCAGGCTGTGCTGGAGCTGACCAGGCTGTTTGTTGCAAGGAGGCAAATTGCTGGGAGGCAGACAGAGATTTTTTTTTCTTGTTTTCTTCCCCAAATGCTAGGTGCGTCTTATAGTCTGGAGCATCTTACAGACCAAAATATATGGTGTATATTTTGGTGAGGTTTTTATGCGCTAAAGGTCTTCAATGGCTGGATGGCCTCTAGGAGATATGTGCTAGTCTGGAAATCCTGCACTGAGCAATTGGTCTAGATAACCTCCAAGATACCTTCCTATTCTATGCCTTTATTAATTATTGTTATTTTCAACCTAAATATCCCTTCCCATAATGTTTTACATCCTGTTAGTTGTATCGAGTGCTTGTCAGAGTATAACAATTGAATATGAATTAAATCCATTCAATTCTCCCTTCTCCCCAAAGTAATACTTAAAAAAAAATTGGGAAATTTTAAAAAGGTTAGGGAGAATAGCTAAATATAAAAGAGGATGGACTCCTTAATCTGAGAAGAGGTTCAAAATTCCTTTTTCTATTAAACTATTAAAACAGGCTATTAAACTTTTTTGTATCTGGCCATCCCAAGCTTGCAGTGAAAATGTGTGATATTTGTGGACTTGAAAGTCTAGCTCATCCATACCATTTAGCAACCATGTCACTGAGATGTGCTTGTGTCTGTGTGTGTCTGTGTGAGGAGTGATCTAAAAAAAGTCAAGAAAACAGCCACAACTGTGCAACTGAAGCCCCACCCCTTTTATGATTTAGATGCAAGGGGCATGACCCCAGTCATATAGAATACTTACTGTGTTCGACATGATTGGGGCCCTTCCTGTTTCACCTGAATCATTAAAAGGAACCCTACTTCAGTTGCATAGCTGTGGCTGTTTTCTTGATTTTATTTAGGCCACTCCTCCCACAAAGCTCCTATTACCACTGCCACCATCAAGTAAATTCACAGCTGGTGAGAACTTTGTAGTTAATCCTTGAAATAATTTCATCCTGCCAGGAATTGGTACATCAGAGAAAGTGGCCTGACTTCCGTCTCTTTTTCTAGGACTGTGCGCCCTCGTCTCATTCTTTATGTGTCCAAGGAACTGGAAGCAAGTGGGAACAATGCTCCTCCAAACCCAGCATCTGGTAAGTTCAGAGTTATTTCCTAAATATGATTTTGGGGCACCTGTGTGCAAAATCCAAAAACATCGCAATTGATTGAGGAGGCCTTTTAGCCACACATTCAGTTGTGGTGCTACTTTGTATTTTTTAAAAGATGCAATATTGCATACTATGTTTATGTTCTGCTTAATATCAGCAGCTTTGAAAAGTGGGACCTATGTAAATTTAAACAAAACAACAAACAGATCCAGCAAAGCACTGAAACAAGAGGCCCTGGAATTTTCTAGCAAGTTACAGCTGTCTTGGAAGATATTTTTTCTATTCACAAAATGGTTCCTAGGCAGGTGTAGCTGGTTGCAAAAATACTAATTTACCCAGAGTAAAACTGATCAAAGTCATTGTCCCTTCTAAGTTCTCAGCTTTTCTTGCCAGATGGGTTTAGCTCTAAACAAAGCACCAAACCATTTTCTAAGAATGCTCAAGGGAGTCATTTAGGGCTTTGAGGCATCCTGGGAAGTAATGAAGATGATGGAGGCTGGTGTTTTACATTGCAGCATGCCAGGTGGTTGGGTTTCTTTTTTCTGGTTTTGATGAAAGAGTCTAAAAAATAAATTAAGATGAGGTGGAGTGTGGCAAGCAGCAGGGGAGGAATTTGCAGACACAATTATGCCCAAGGGAGCTACGCTGTTCATTTGGGAGATTACAGTCTCTCCTTCACAACTTTTAAGCACCGATGGCATAATTTTGTAGGATAAATTGTTATAAATCTTTTTTTAAAACTGTATTTCTTAAAACTGCACAATATTTCATGCATTGATGTTCCTTCCCCAAAAGTTATATACCAAGAGTTATATCTGGAGGAACTGACTGCCACGGAGCTGACTAATAAATTGGCAGAACTGCTTAGCGTCCCAGCCAATCAGGTCCAGCAAGTTTCCAAACAGGGGCCTACAGGAATTCACATCCTTGTGAATGATCAGGTATGGTGCAGACTTATTTTAAGAATGAGCCTTACCTCTTAGAAACACAGAAGATTGAATCCTTATCTCCAAAGATTAAAGAATAGAGATTAGAAGAGCACAATTATTATTCTTGCAGCGTTCTGACCATGCACTTTCAAAGAGGCGAATCTAAGGGATTCTGGCTGCAACGATCAGGCTAAAGGTTTTAATGCCCGCATTCACTTCTGCTGATCTATACTGGGAAAGTCCTGGCAGTTCCATAGCATCCCTACCTCTTTCCTTACCAGTAGCACTGTGGTTGGGCTTTATGACCAATCACTACCTATTTTCTTGTTTGTTTGTTCAGTTTATATAGCTACCCACCTCACTAAACAAGGAAATCTATTAGGAAGGTGTCTTTAATGCTGTTTAGTGGTAAGTTTAAAAGTGGATAAACTTTTTTCAGTTATCTATATCTCCAGCTTTTTTTCTTGAAAAACTAAGTATGATTTAATTAGATGTGTTTTGCTATTTAAATAAACATGGTGAACTGGGGAGAATAGCTTAATCCCAAATAACTCCAAAGATGATTTGCATAAAACTAGTCTCTCTTACCCTCTGCTGACTTTAATTGTTCAGTCCATACCCTAGCATCTTTTGTGAGCTCTGCCAGCATTTAACTTTGGCTGATGCCAATGAATTAGACTCTTTTTCTTCCATAAAGTCATTTCAGAAGTTGAGAATGGATTATGATCATATATGCTTGAAAGCACAGATTATAAACAGACATTGCTTAATTGGGAAATCCAGATCAAATCAGTTTCAGCTACAGCATTTACCTAAATGGTAGTTTCAGATTCAGAGGTGGGTTGCTCCCGGTTCGGCCAAACTGGTAGTTGCGCATGAATAGCAATAGCAGTTAGACTTATATACCGCTTCATAGGGCTTTCAGCCCTCTCTAAGCGGTTTACACTACAGAGTCAGCATATTGCCCCCAACAACAATCCGGGTCCTCATTTTACCCAT